ATATATGTATATATATATATATGTATATATGTATGCCTGTGTTTGTGCGTGTGATAAGTTGAATGGTTAGGCACATAAGGTCGGTTGGTAGTTCACATCATAGCCTCTTATATATATATATATATTTCTGTGTGTGCGTGCGTGCGCAGTTGCCGAAATATAAATAAATAATAAATAAATAATAGGGTTTTGGCTGCATGTTGGATTTAGTAAATCCGATAAATTCGAATTTATAAATCTAGTGTTAGTAAATCTATAATGATGTTGGTATGATTTAACTTAAATCCGTTTAAATCTATTTGTTTGGCTTATTGTCATGATTTAATTTCCTTGTAAATCCATTAAATTCAACTAAAAATCAGATTAGTAAATCTAGATTTACCTAAAAATTAGATTTAATAAATCCAGATTTACGTTCGGAAATTAAGGGAGGGAGAGAAATTTGGTCTTAGCAAATTATCGGATTTATTTCACCTTTTCATTTCACGTTTTAGGTTAAAAATTGCCCATAAATCCTAATAATTTTGTGCTACCAAACACCGTCCCACACTATTTTGGGGATTGATGTTGGTCTCCAAGATTGAGCTGATACAATCCCTCTGCCACCATCATAGATTCCCATAAAAAAATTTTTCTCACAATTTAAATTGCACCACAAACTGTGTAATCCAAGCTCAGAAAAATTTAGGCCACAAACTCTAACAATTTTCTTAACATAACTATGACCGAACTTTTATTCATGAACTATGAATTTAAAGGAATTTAAGCACAAAATCAAGCTAAAACTAAATGACTGAGTTGGTAAGAGAAAAAAAACCTGATTCACGATTATAAGATACACATGAAAAATTGCAAGCCCTCCAAGAAAGCCAATGGCCCCAAAACTAAACAGAGCCAAAGCAAATGTCTCAGGCAACTCCGCCGCTGCTCTAAAACCTCCCCATTCATTGTCAGACATCTTCTTCCCAATCTTCCACCATGAGAAAGACAACATGTAAACGAAGAACACCAAAGCCATAAATATAAACATCATATAATACCGATTATTTCGCTGCAAAACAAAAACAAATTCCCCTCATCAATCAGAACATACAGAAAGAAGAAGTAAACAGAAAGATTTCATCTTTGATCTCACCAAGCCAACACACTGGCTCAGCCATGGACAATGGTGATCAAATTTCTCCACACAATTGTCACAAACTTGGCAGTGAAAGCTTCTAGGTGGGCGAAATATCTTACAGATCCTGCAGTACTTGATCCTTACTTCAATGCCATCAATGGTGATTCTTCTGCTTCTTACTCTGCTACTAGAAGCGATATCTTCCAAAGGTGAGCTCTCATTCCTCGGAATAATTCCTGGGTCCCTTGTGCTTGCCATGATCAAACTAACAATAACCTTTAAAAAAAAATCAAAAAGTTCATAAGTTGCTAACTTACAATATTATTCATCTCAGAAATTAATTTATAAACTTACCACAGCTGTTAAGAGAACTGATAGAGTGACTATAAGGACAAACTGATCAAGCAAAGTTCTGCTGCAAATATAGTTGCAGAAAGTCCATTCAGAAAGAATAACTGAAACTGAAGTTAGAAGAAGGCCGCGGGGATCAGGGCCACAGATTAGTCTCCCCCTGAAGAAGAACACCTGTTTCGACTTCTGAAAATGTAAAACTTCGAAAAATTTTTTTCTTCTGTTGGATTTTCATAACTTCGATGAGAGTTTGAGTATTTGGCTTACATTTCTTCCTGGCCAGATCTGATAAACTCTTGCTGATGAACTGTGAGAGTGCGCACTGGAGAAGAAACCAAAGCAGTTTAGGATTGAAATTTCGTGGCCGAACAATTTTTTCCACAGAGGTTCATTTGGTTCTGGAATGCGGGACTGGGATCGATCCAGTGGCTGTAATGTCGTTGATGAAGAAGAATGGCGATCGTCGGCGTTGCTCTTCGATTTCGATCTTTCATTGGAAGAGGATGCCATACTTGTTGGTTACGGGAAGTTAGTTGCTGCGGTTTTTATCCTGTAATTAGGGTTTTAGGGAAGTGGATTTAAAATATGAACGGTTGGGAAACTGAAAGGTGAGTTCTGGACACACTTTTTCTTAATTGAATGGTCCGACTCAATCCTTTCGTGACACGTAGTCATTGTAAATTTTAGTGAAATTTCATTTGGTAAAACTTATATTTGAAATTTCATTTGATTAAATTTATATTTTGTTTATGGGAAATTTATATACACGACCCACGACCCACGACCCACAACCCACGGACCACGGCCCACGGACCACGGCCCACGGACCACGGCCCACGGTCCTCAAACATTGCCTATTACTTACTTACATGCGGATCCCCTTAGGTTGGCTTTTGCACATCCCTTCACTTCCTCTTCTGGCGGCGAACTGATTTGGCCTACCCAACTCAGGGAAACTGTCTGTAATTTCATTGTCAGTGTCAGATAATTCATGATTTTCTAATCTTGACAATTGATCAGCAATTTGATTATCAGTTCCTTTTCTATCAATAACCACAAGATCAAATTTTTGCATCAAAAGTATCCATCTAATCAACCTTGGTTTGACATCCTTCTTTTACATCAAATATTTAATAGCAGAGTGATCGGTATGCACCACACATTTAGCTCCAATTAAATAAGATCTGAATTTATCTAAAGCATACACAATGGCTAGTAACTCTTTTTCAGTAACAATAAAGTAAATTTGTGCATCATTAAAAGTTTTACTAGCGTAGTATATAACTTTAAAAATCTTTTCATACCTTTGTCCAAGGACAACTCCAATAGCATAGTCACTAGCATCACACATCAATTTGAATGGTTTCTCCCAGTTTTGTGAAATTATATTAGGAGTTGTGATTAATTTTTTTCTTTAATAACTCAAAGACATTTAAACAGCTTTCAGTAAATTCAAATTTCTTGTCTTTTTCTAAAAGTTGGCATAGAGGTTTGGTAATTTTTGAAAAATCTTTAATAAAACGCTTGTAAAATCCAACATGTCGAAGACAACTCCTAACCTCTCTTACATTAGTATGAGATGTTAGTTTAGATATAGCTTGAATTTTTGTAGGGTCTGCTTCCATACCATCTTCCAAAATTTTATGTCATACCACAATTCCTCTTGCAACCATAAATTGACATTTCTCCCAATTTAGAACTAAATTAGTTTTTTTCCATAACTCAAAAACTTTTTCCAAGTAATTTAAGCACTCGTGTCTCCAATTATTTTCCACTTCGTAATTGTATCACCTTGATTTGTTCTTTTCCTTGATCTTTAGGATTTGATTCCACAGTACTAGGAAAAGTTCCTAATGTTCGGTTATTAAGCGCAGTAGCGATATGTCCCGATTGGTTTTCAATATTCTTAATAGCAGTTCCTTGATTTTGTAATTGATTTCCTTGAATTTGTAATTGATTTCCTTGATTCTGCAATTTTTGACCCATGTTCAGTATTAGCTCTTCCATAGACAGCTTTTTTTCCTTAAATTGAGTGTTACTGTTAAATCCTGGAGGATAGAAAAGGTCTATAATTAACATTTCCTTGGTTGGATAAATTTCCCAATGGGTTCACTGGTTGTTTGCCCATTGTTGATTTGTAGAAGAATTGTTATTCCAATTAAAGTTAAGATGATTCTTCCGGGCCATTGAAAATTGTTGGTAGCCATCTCTTCTATTAATGAATAAGCCTCATCAAAGGGTTTTGACATTAAAGAACCACCAACATCAACATATATAATCGATCTAAGAGATCCAACTAATCCATTATAAAAAGTTTGAATTATTAATCAATCTAGTAACGAATGATGAGGACACTTCTAAGAAGATATTTAAATCTCTCCTAAGCTTCATTCGTATATTGACTCTCCATCAATTTGACAAAATGATGTTATGTCATTTCTAAGTTTAGCAGTTTTGGATTGAGGGAAATATTTGGATAGAAATTTCTGTGAAAGTTCTCCCCAAGTTCTAATAGATCCTGGTGCTAACAAATTTAGCAACATCTTAGCCTTATTACTAAGTGAAAAAGGGAAAAGTCTAAGTCTAACAACATCGTTTGAAACTCTATCATATTTA